TAAGTTATGTCTCAATTGGGTTTAACAGACAACTATAGAACATTCCATCCAAACAGAAAAGAATGTATCTTCTTCTGTGCTCCACATGGAACCTTCTCTAAAATAGACCACATACTCGGCAACATAACAAACCTCAACAGATACAAAACATTTGGAATAGTCCCCTGTATCTTTCCAGGCCCCCATACTTTAAAGTAAGAATTCAACATAACAACAACACAAATTGCAGAAACCCTACAAACTCATGGAAACTGAACAATGAGCAGTTGCACCATACCTGGGTCAAAGAAGAAATAAAGAAATTAAGGACTTCCTAGAATTCATCAAGAATGAGAACACAACATACCCAAACCTATGGGACACCTTGAAAGCAGTGCTACGAGGGAAGTTCATTGCTCTAAGTGCCCATATGAAGAAAACGGAGGATAGTCACATTAAAGAATTAACAGCACAACTGAAAACCTTAGAATATAAAGAAGCAAACCCACCATGGAGGAGTAGACACCAGGAAATAATTTGAGACACCAGGAAATCAATAAAGTAGAAACCAGGAAAACAATACAAAAAAAAAAAAAATGCAACAAAGAGTTGGTTTTTTGAGGAAATCAACAAGATAGACAAATCTTTATCCAAACTAATGAAAAAGCAGAGAGAGAACATGCGAATTAACAAAATCAGAAACGAAAAGAGGGATGTAACAACAGACACTGAGGAAATCCAGACAATTTTCAGGTCAAACTTTGAAAACCTGTACTCCACAAAATTTGAAAATTCAAAGAAAATGGATAAATTTCTGGATTACTATCACTTACCAAAATTAAATCAAGAACAGGTAAGCAACTAAATAGACCTATAACCCCTAATGAAATAGAGGTAGTCATCAAAAGCCTCCCAACCAAAAAAAGTGCAGGGCCAGATGGCTTCAGTACAGAATTCTACCAAAAATTCAAGGAAGACCTAATACCAATATTCCTCAAATTTTTCCACACAATAAAAGCAGAAGGTTCATTACAAAATTCTTTTGTCGAGGCCACAATTACCTTGGTACCCAAGCCACACAAAGACACAACTGAGAAAGAACTACAGACCAATATCCCTCATGAACATTGATGCAAAATACTCAATAAAATACTGGCGAGTTGAATCCAAGAACACATCAGAGAAATCATCCAACATGACCAACTAGGCTTCGTCCCTGGGTTGCAGGGATGGTTCATCATAAGAAAATCTATCAATGTGACCCACCATATAAACAAACTGAAAAAGAAAAACTGTATGATCATCTCATTAGATGCTGAAAAGGCCTTTGACAAAATTCAACACCCTTTCATGATAAAGGTCTTGGAGAGATCAGGGATAACAGGAACATACCTAAGCATAATAAAAGCAATATACAGTAAAGCAACAGCCAACACTAAACTGAATGGAGAGAAGCTTAAGGTGATTCCTCTAAAATCAGGAACAAGACAAGGCTGTCCACTCCCTCCATATCTCTTCAATATTGTACTTGAAGTTCTAGCTAAAGCAGTAAGACAAAAGGAGATCAAGGGGATTCAAATTATAAAGGAAGAAGTCAAACTGTCTCTATTTGCCGATGATATCACAGTTTGCATAAGTAACCTGAAAAACTCTACCAGGGAACTCCTACAGCTGATAAACACCTTCAGCAAACTAGCAGGATACAAGATAAACTCAAAAAAATCAGTAGCCCTACTATATATAGCCAACAAAGGGGCTGAGAAAGAAATCAGAGAAACATCACCCTTTACAATAGCCACAGACAACATAAAGTATCTTGGGGTAACACTTATCAAACAAGTGAAAGGCCTATATAGCAAAAAGTTTGTGTTAAAGAAAGAAATTAAAATATCAGAAAATGGAAAGATCTCCCATGCTCTTGGATAGATAGGATAAACATAGTAAAATTGGCAATTTTGCCAAAAGTAGTCTACAGATTCAGTGCAATCCCCATTAAAATCCCAGCACAATTCTTCACTGTCCTTGAAAGGATAATAATCAACTTTATATGAAGAAACAAAAGACCCAGAATAGCCAAAACAACCCTATACAATAAAAGAACTTCAGGAGGCATCACCATTCCTGATTTCAAGCTCTACTACAGAGCTATAGTTCTGAAAACAGCCTGGTATTGGCACAAAAAGAGACAGGTAGACCAATGGAATCAAATCAAAAATCCTGATATTAACCCAAACATCTACAAACACCTGATTTTTGACAATAGAGCTTAAAGTATACAATGGGAGGACAGAAGCATTGTGAACAAATGGTGCTGGCACAAATGGATGATAGTGTGCAGAACACTTCAGATAGACCCATGTCTGTCGCCATGCACAAAATTCAAGTCCAAATGGATCAAAGACCTCAACATAAATCCAGCCACACTGAACCTCTTAGAAGAGAAAGTGGGAGATACCCTTGAACAAATTGGTGCAGGAGACTGCTTCCTGAACGTAACTCCAATAGCACAGACAGTGAGCTCGACAAATAATAAATGGGACTGCTTCAAACTTAGAAGCTTCTGTAAGGCAAAGGACACAGTGGACAAGACCAAACGGCAGCCAACAGACTAGGAATAGATCTTCACCAACCCTACATCTGACAGAGGGCTGGTCTCCAAAATATACAAAGAACTCAAGAAACTAGTCACCAAAACACCAAATAACCCTATTTAAAAGTGGGGTACAGAACTGAAGAAAGAATTCTCAATAGAGGAAATCAAAAAGGCTGAAAGACATTTAAAAAAGTGCTCAACATCCTTAGCTATCAAGGAAATGCAAGTCAAAACAACTTTGAGATACTATCTTACTCCTGCCAGAATGGCTAAAATTAGGAACACCAATGACAACTCATGCTGGAGAGGATGTGGAGAAAGAAGAGCACTCCTCCACTGCTGGTGGGAGTGCAAACTCATACAGCCATTTTTTAGATCAGTATGGCAGTTCCTCAGAAAAATGGGAATCAGTCTACCACAGGACCTAGCAATCCCCCTCTTAGGCATATACCTAAATGGTCCACGTCTATGCAACAAAGACATGTGTTCGACTATATTAGTATCAGCAATTATTTGTAATAGCAAGAACCTGGAAGCAACCTAGATGCCCATCAATTGAAGAATGGATAAAGAAGATGTGGCACATCTACACAATGGAATACTACTGTGTGGGGAAAAAAAGTAGAATCTTGAAATTCGATGGCAAATGAATGGAAGTTGAAGAAACCTTCCTGAATGAGGTAACCCCAGTCACGAAAAGAGGAACATGGTATGTACTCGCTCATATATGGATTTTAGACCTAGAACAAAGGATCACCAGCCTATAATTCACACCACCAGTGAAACTAGGATACAAAGAGGAACCTAAGAGTTTCATACAAGGTCTCTCACAGAAGGGGAAAGGAACAAGATTTCCTGACCATATTGGAGCATGGGGTGGGGGTGGGGGGCGGTTGCAGTGAATGGAGAGGGAGCTAGGAGAAAGGGAAGGTGAGGAGAGGAAAGCATGGAGGACTAGGAATATTTTGTCAGGAGAATAATAGACTAGAGAAAAAAAGAGAGGGAGAGATACCATAAAAGAGAGAACCATTTTAGGTTTGAAGAGAAAACTGACTCTAGAGAAATGTTCAGAGACCTGCAAGACTGACCCCAACTAACAATTTGAGCAACAGTGGAAAGGCTACCATAAGTGCCCTTTCCTGATAATGAGATTAGTGACTAACTTATCCACCATCAAAGAGCCCTCATCTAGTAGCTGATGGAAACAGAAGCAGACACCCACAGCTAAACACTGCAGTGAACTGGAATCCAGATGCTGAACTGGAATCCAGATGCAGAAAAGTAGGACAAGACCAGGCTACAGAAACCCACAGAGATAGCTGACGTGAACCAGGAGGAGCTAATGGGCCCCCAGACTGATAGCTGGGAATTCAGCACTGGACCAACTCAGATCCCCTGAACATGGGTCTCAGTTAGAAAGCCTGGGCAGTCTAAGGGACCTCTGACAATGGAACCAGGATGTAACCCTTGTTCACAAAAGGACTTTGGGAGCTCGTTCCCCATGGGGAGATACTCACTTAACCTAGAGGCAGGAGGGGAGCCCTAGTCCCTACTCCAAATGACTTGACAGATTTAGATGACCCTTCCAGGAAGGTATCACCCTACATGTGGAGTGGTGGGGGGATGGGAGGGTGGTTGAGGGGACATGGGAGGGTGGAGGAGAGCGAACTGGGGTCATTATGTAAAATTAAGAAATATAAATATAAAAATACTGATCTACTACCAGAGGCACCATAGACAGCATAATCCTCCTAAGTAACACCCACATCCAGGGAGTTTGTGTTGGTCCTGTGATTGTTTCCCAGCTATCAGACTGGGGTCCCTGAGCTCTCCCTTGTTCAGGTCAGCAGTTTCTGTCGCTTTCTCCAGTCTGGTCTTGACCCCTTTGCTCATCACTCCTCCCTCTGCTGGCTTCCAGGCATTGGGCTCAGTGTTTAACTGTGGGTGTCTGTTTCTGTTTCCATCAGCTACTAGATGACAGCTCTAAGATGGCATATGAGGTAGTCATCAATCTCATGATTAGGGAAGGGCATTTAAGGTAGCCTCCCACTTAGATTTGTAGTTAGGGTCATCCTTATAAGTCTCTGCACATTTCCCCACTGCCAGCTTTCTCTTAAAACCTGTAATGGCTCCCTCTATTATGGTATCTCTTTTCTTGCTCTCCTGTATTTTTTTCCCCGACTCAATGGGACTGGGGACTGCTTAAAAAGTTATTTTTAAAAATTACTCAAGAAAGCAAGTTTTAAAATTGTATGCCATATTTAAATTTATTTCATATGAAGTACAGGAAGCAAATATTAGAAAAATTTTTCCAAAATGCTGAAAGAGGCAATGTGTCAGGTAGATTGTTACATGAAGACTTCCTTTATTAAATGTAATGCTTGTTTTAAATGGATCTCTTTTTCCCCCTCCTTTTTATATTTACCAGGGCGCAGAACTTTAGCTGTAATCACCAAACTTGATCTCATGGATGCGGGTACTGATGCCATGGATGTATTGATGGGAAGGGTTATTCCAGTCAAGCTTGGAATAATTGGAGTAGTTAACAGGTTAGCGATTAAAATTGAATAAAGGTGCTGGAGAGTTAGTTCCTGGGTTAAGAATACTTGTTACTCTCACAGAGGACTAAGTTCAAATCCCAGCACTCACATTAAGTGACTTACCACTTGTAACTAGAGCTTCAAGGGATCCAACACCCTCTTTGTCCTCTAAGGATACCACCAGCACACCACATGCACGTATAAACATGTTTGCACACATATTCATGTAAATAAACACACACGCACGCACACACATATAATTTGTTTTTTAAGGATGGTATAAGAATCACAGCATTCTCATTTCAAAGCAAGTCTGAATTTCTGAAAATCTGAAGTGTGATGCTGTCCTATGCCCTGTTCTTTCTTCCCTGTTGGGGTTCCTGCAGGGGTTATGCACTATAAATGGACTAAGGCCTCTCTGAGAACTTGAGGGTTTTGTTGTTGCTGGTTTTCTTTTTTAAAGTCATTTATTTGTATGTATATGGAAGTCAGTTGACAGCTTGGCAGAAACCATTTCTCCCCTTCTCCCATTTGGGTTTTGGGGTTTAAACTTGGGTGTCAGGCTTAGCAGCAAGTCATGCCAATTGCTCTTTTACAAGATGTTCTTCCTCTCTGATTTTTCTCATTGAAAATGTTTCTAAGGTAGTCAGTGCCACAAAATGGAAAATTATTAATAATTAACCTTTATAAATTCTTGCCTACTACTCAAGTCATGTGTGAAAATGATATTGGGTACAGAAAAAAATAGTATTATCTAATTTGTACCCACTCAAGAATATTTAAAGGTAGTTGAATTTTAATGATTGTTTTAATCCCATATTACTAGTAATGCTATGTAATGCCAGGATGTAACTCGGAAACTTTAAAGATAGGTCCTGGAAATTGCTGATATTAAAAATTATACGAAAAAACAAAAACAAAAACAACTACTGTTGAGTGCCCATGTTTTATACATTCTACAGTGAGCACTTTGCAGTGGTGTTCTTGGAATTCTCCAAGTAATGCCCTAGTGGTAGGCAATACTGTCTGTGCTCAAGTGACAGTCCTCTCTTAGGTCTCCAGTTATCAGGAGACCCAGTGCTGAGTCTAGTTTCTATGTAGTCTGGATATAGTAGAGTTTAAGTCTCAGGTGATTAAAATCAAAATATTTTATTAAGTGATATCTAAGTTCCATTCAAATTGTCTCTGTTTATATACATTCCTTTTTCACTTAAAGAAAACTTCCAGCCAGATGGTGGTGCATGCCTTTAATTTCAGCACTTGGGAGGCAGAGGCAGGCGGATCTCTGTGAGTTCAATGCCAGCCTGGTCTACAGAGTAAGTTCCAGGGCAGCTAGGGCCATTATACAGGGAAACCCTGTCTAGGAAGGAAAAAAAAAAGGAAAATGGCAATGTCTGGCTAGTTTCTTTTCAGCCAACTATGTGCTATACATACTGCTGCTTCCTGTATTTGTAAATGGTTACACTTGAAGTTAACTTCTTTTATTCTTGGTAGAGTTTAGTTACCTGCCCATGGATAAAATAGAGCTGATTAAGATATGCTTGCATTTTTATATTAGTCTATAACTTACATAAGGATACTGCTTATGTGTGTAGTTTAATAGTAACAGGGAAGCTAATACTGTTTAGCTTAAGTCAAACCGTCCTTGGTGAGTTCATTGACTGAGAAGTCAGTGCCCACTTATAATAGTGATGCCTGTTGTAGAGGATCACCAAGGTCTAAAAAGACAGCCATGTTAGAAGTCAGGAGATGCTGACACTCAGCTAGAGCAGGGAAAGAACAATGGTGGCTTCAGTTGAACAAGTTTATTTATTTTTTTTTTAACCATAGGAGCCAGCTAGATATTAACAATAAGAAGAGTGTAACTGATTCTATCCGTGATGAGTATGCTTTTCTTCAAAAGAAATACCCCTCTCTGGCCAACAGAAATGGAACGAAGTATCTTGCTAGGACCCTAAATAGGTAACATTTTTACCTTTTGAAGATGAAATGTTTTCATTTAATGTTCCTGTTTAGTTTCATGTGTTTTCATACTATTCCTTATAGCTTCACTTCTAAGTTCTTGTAAAGCAAATGTCTCTATTTTTTATTGGAATGTTTGATACTAAATCATGTAGTCTGGAATGAGTATTCAAATAATTTTCTTTATTAGGAAGTTTTTTTTAACTTTTACTTCAAACTCATTTCTCAAATAACTATTATATGGTTAAAATACTCAAAATTTATTCAAATAAAACATCCAGTAGTGTTTACAATCAAGTAGCAATAGCCACAAATCTTAGGAAAGCCCATCAAAGAGAGTTTACACTTTGTTGAGGCCCAAATCCTATGGAGTGACTACTCCCAGTTCATTTAAAGTTGATCTGAGTTCCTGGATGATGTGGTGGTAAATTTGCTTATGGTATCCTCCTTTATCCTTAACCTCCAGGATGCAAACAGTACTAGCAAAATCATTTAACTGTCCACATGCCTACAAAGCAGCATCAGTGTTGGGACTTGGACTTGGATCATAGCCTAGGAGTATGTTCATCCCTTTGTGCAGTTCATTGCTATGTATATACGTTTTGCTTGTTGAAGTGTCACCCAACAAATATCAAAATACTCATCTATTTTACTTGACCCATGAGAACAGCAGCAGTGGTCATTTTGGAGTACAGGGAATTTTGGGGATTGGTGCCAGGAGGGCAATGGCAACCACAGTACCGAGTGAGCAATTAGGAAATTTTTGACAGTTAATTGGGTTTTGAACTTTACCAAAATATCAGGTGACTTCCAGACACTTTAGATTTCATGAATTTAATTAAAATTTTTGGTTTTCACGTGATATGCCTTTTAATTCAGAATTTCTTTTACATTTACTCATAACAGGAATAACATGTATTCCATATCTCTATACTGAATACCTGTTGGTGTTGTAGGAACTAAAAGGCCTTCCTTATATATAAGTGATTGGAGGGAAAATCATTTTCTCTCCTCCTATACATTGAAGGCAGATGAACTTGGGTCTTAAGAAGATAGAGTTATTTATGCTGTGTTGGGTAACTTTGTAAAAGATAGGTTATTAAACCAAAATTGTAGATAGACTTGGACCGAGTGGCTTACTTTAGATTACACTGACATGAAAATAATGAGCTTTCTTTTTCTTTTCTTTCTTTCTTTCTTTCTTTCTTTTTTTTTTTTTTAATGTTTTTATTGTGGCTAAAAGCATATATCAAAAGTATTGACCAAAACAGCTACTTTTGTGAGTTGTTATTTGCTCTTTTTTTTTTTAGACTAATGGGGGGGGGCTAATACTTTGTTTTCTTATTCTTACACAGTTACTCAAATGAACAAAGTACTTCTGGCAGCAGATTTATAAGGATTTTCCCCATATACCATACAAATAATTCTTTGGTAGATAGTAACTAGCTGTCCTATAACTCACTTTTGACACTATATATGTATCGATAGCAGTTTTTTATAGGATTTAGGATTTATCTTCTACATCAGATGTCAGTTGCCAGCAAAGGTTATGGCCTGTGCTTCTTAATAGCTGTGACCCTGGGAATAGGCAATGGGCCTCAGTGAACATTTTACTTATGCTTACTCATATATAATAAAAGATTACTATAAAGAATATAGGTGAAGCTATTAGAGGAGATAGATAATGTGAAGTATAGGAATATTGAAAAGTGAACCAGGGCTTTATAACTCTCTGGGCATGCCAGGCTCCAGACCTTTTAGTTTCATGAACTTTGTGCTTGAGTTTTCATGGCAGCTTCATTATATAAATAGGATCAGTTACCTTACTGACCTTTAAGACCTGGGTAGTAGGAAGTTTCCCCCTTTTTATACATTTTTCATTAACTTGTTTGGAGTATCAGGATATTAATTTTATGCTAAAACCCTGCTTTTCTGATCTTTTAGATTACTTATGCATCATATCAGAGATTGTTTACCAGAGCTGAAAACAAGGATAAATGTCTTAGCTGCTCAATATCAGTCTCTTCTAAATAGCTATGGTGAACCTGTGGATGATAAAAGTGCTACTTTACTGCAACTTATCACCAAATTTGCCACAGAATACTGTAACACTATCGAAGGAACTGCGAAGTACATTGAAACTTCTGAGCTGTGAGTAAGATATTTTTGTTAAGATTTGGTTGCTTGGATTGCAAGGTTACTTTATCTATGAAGTGATTTAGATCATCTGACTGGTTTATTATCAATAAAACAGGAATATAAATTTGTAGAAATAAGAGGATTATTGTGTCAGATATAAGCTATATAAACATGGAAAAGTTACAGGTTTTTTAAAAAAGCAATTATTCCTCCCTCCCTTCCTTCCTTTTCTTTCTTTCTTTCTTTTGAAAAGAGACCACATTGCCTTGCTCAGGCTGTCCTCAAACTCATGATCCTCCTGTCTCAGCCTTCTACATAACTAGAGTTGTGAGACCATGCCATGATGTCAGGCTTTGAATTTTTTTCCAACTTTTAAAATTAAATGCCCCCTCTCGGTTAGTGTGTGTGTGACAGACATGTGAAGGTCAAAAGACAGTTATCAGTAATTGGTTCTCTTCTGTCACCTGTGGAATTGAGGGATTCAGCTTGGGTTGCCAATCTATTGTTCAAGCATCAGTACTCACTGTTATGTTAGTTTTGCCTAGGAAGGCACAATTGAGCATCTAATCACCCCAGATGCATATCAGTAGCTGATTTCATAATTCAGCTTCATGAGACTAATGAGTATATCAGACTTGTTCACAGAGCACGTGGAAAGGGTCAATTAGAGAAGTGTGGGTGACCTCAGGTCCTATCCTATGCTGCTTGGCAGCCTCATGGATTCTGCATCATACATCCTGCTTTTAATTACTTTTCATTTCCATTTTCTAGTCTCACATCTCCCGGATGACTTGCCACTAGGAGAGGGACTAATTGCTAGAATCCCTGGTGAGATTCTCCTGAATCTATAGCAGTGATTCTCAACCTGTGGATCGCGACTGCTTTGGTGGTTAAACAGTCCTCTCACAGAAGTCACCTAAGACCAGAAAGCACAAATATTATATATTCTCATTCTTAGTAGTAGTAAAAGTATAATTATAAAGTAACAACAAACATAGTTTTATGGTTGGGGTCACACAACATGAGGAACTCTATTAAAAGGTCGTAGCATTAGGAAGGTTGAGAACCACTGTACTATAGGGAGTGTTGGTAGCTCCATTGATATTGTCATAGACCTGGCCACCACTACTTTCCAAATCTGTCAAGGCAAAGTCCAAAGTAGCATCTTGTTAGTATAGAATACCTGCCGAGCCATCTCACCAGCCCTTAACTTTTAAAACTGTCTTTTGAAACTGGGCTAAAGAGATGACTCAGCAGTTAAGACTGGCTGCTCTGCCAGAGGACCCTGGTTCAATTCCCAGCACCCACATGGCAGCTCACACTGTCTATGACTCCAGTTCCAGGGGATCTAACACACAGAAATGAATGTGGACACAACACCAATGCATGTAAAATTACATTAAATCAACAACTTTTAAAACTGTATTAGTGACTTTTCTATTGTTGTGCTAAAACACCCTGACCAGGGCAGTTTGTATTAGGAAGTCATTTTATTTGGCCTTATGGTTCCAGAGTTCCAGAATTAAGAATTACAGTTCCAAAGTTAAGAGTTTGTTACCATCACAGTGAGGAAACTTGACAGCAAGCAGGCCTTGCGACTAGAGCAACAAGCTGAGAGTGAACCAGGAAAGAGTGTAGCTTTGAAACCTCAAAGCCTGTCCCCAGTACTGTACTTCATCCAACAAGGCCAAACTAAACCTACCCAGACTGTGCCACCAGTGCGCAGCATTCTCATCCAAACTACTAGAAGAATATTTATGTTTAAAGTAAGTTAATGTAGGGGTTGTTTAAGTAGGTGCTTTGTCACTGAGCTACATACCCAGCCCAGTTGTTTCTTTAATATACATTTAAAAGTTTAGAGTTTGGGGCTAAGAATGACACTGAAACAGATTATCCTTTTTATGAGGTTTTTTGGAAGAGATTTTAACATCATAGACTGGGCAGACCACTGCATGGGAAGCAGACTCTGAGGGGACATGAGGTCCTCTGGGTAGGATCCATTCTTACAGGTTTTAGAGGAAGGATAGTGGCAAGGAAACTGGATTTCTTCTTTTGTCCTGCAGTTAGCCACTGTTAGGTATAACCACTGAGAGCTCAGTTTGTGGTAGATAGATAAGTATCTCTCTTGGCCATAACTGGGAATTGATAAGACAGGAGTGTTTGGTTAGTTTTGTATCTACCTGACACCAGCTAGAGTCATTTAGGAAAAGGAACTCTTCGGTTGAGAAAATGCATCCATGGGATTGGTTTATAGGCAAATTTATCAGTCATTTTCTTGACTGATTGATATGGGAAGGCCTAGCTTATTATTGATGGTGGTCCTAATTAATATAAGAACATAGGCTAAGCAAGCTAGAAAGCAGGACTCCTCTATGAACTTCTGCCTCCAAGTTCCTGCCTTGAGTTCCTGCCCTGACTTCCCTTCATAAGGACTGTAAGCGGTAAAGCAAAATAAACCTTTTCCTCCCCAAGTTGCTTTTGGTCAAAGTGTTTTATGACAGCAATAGAAACCTAAGACAGAAGGGAAAGTAAACCAGAAAAAGATAGCACTTTAGTTCTAGAAACCAAGTTAGTTTCTACATTTAACATTGTTAAAAACAAAATGGAAGGCTTTACATGATGGCCAGTCATGGCCAGTACACATAGAGTAATTGAGAGTGAAAATGAAAATAAATAAAACATAAAAACAAAATTACCTTTAATTTCACCAACCAGAGACCATTCCTGCTATTTTACTTTAACCTACACATTTTTTCTACACATCTGTCTATAAGACAAATAAATGCTTGTATTTTATCAGATGCTATACTATACTACCTTAGCATCTTCCTTCAAATCAATATTACAAACAGCTTAACTGCTAGTATTCTGTAAAAATACCTAACTCTAAACACCCCCCCCATTCATATATTCATTGAAAAAGAAAAAGACTGTAGCGCCCGCGCTACCATCTCTACTACGAGTTGGGCGAAGGCCTAGAAATTGAAATAAAGACAAGACAGCCAGTCATTCATTCAATGGCAAAGTCGGAATGCCGAATGCCGTTTATTGAGGGGCAAGAACGGGCTTAAATACCGACTTATAGCACAGTGGAAAATTACAGGAATTTTTTTGGCTTAGCTCCTCCCTGTGTTATCACGAGGTATGGTTGTCCCCTGTGTGTGTCACAAGATGTGTTGTCACGAGGTGCGTGTCATGGGAAGAGTACCAACAATAGCCTTGGGGCAAGGAGTTCCCGCCAACAGCTTCAGGCTAGCTCAAGGTGCCTTGGGGTCCTACAAAAGACACCTGATTTAAGGATAATTATAGGCACACAGGAAGTTAACAACAAATATACAGAGAGGTCCCATGCATCTTTCTCTCTCTCTCTGAATGTACACACAGAATGAGTAAAGAGATCATCCATACGGTGCTGGTTTTATAGATATGAGAGATGCAAGGGTGAAGAAGGCCACAGGGGCTTATGCTAATGTACTAGAAGGAGTCAAAGGGCAAACTGGGATGGGATTGATTCTCTGCATGGAGGCTGTGAAGGTGAGAGTTGCAGTGGAACCCTGCGTGTTTGAAGTGCAGAGACCATTTGACCCTCTGACAAGCTGCAGACCCAAGAAAGTCTTTGTGTGCTGTGGGTAGCAAAGCTAGAGGCTGGGTTCCCCAAGCCATTTGAAACCCAGATGATTCCATCATGAGCTATTTACTCTGCTAGGTTTCAGTTCTGCTTTGATCTCATCTTCCCCTGCTGTTTAGCCCTCCCTGTATAACTAGGCAGACTAAGAGTGATGTTTACATATGTAAATAAAAACTTTTTTAATGAACATTTCAGTATTTCATGACATTTGGAAATTATGTAAAATTTAAATGTTAGCCTATGTGTTTTATTGCAGCATATTTATACTCATTCTTTTTTTTACAGATTGCCTGTTTTTATACTTACTGTCAGATTTGGGTAGTTGTAATAAATACTGAAAGGTATACATATTTTTCCTTAAAGGAAAAAAATTGGCTCACTTCTAGATTTTGTGAGTCAGCAGGAACAAGGTACTATTTCTTTTCCCGGAGAAGCTGATAAACTAGCTGAAGAAAAAAGTAGGGTAGGGAAAAGATGATTAACAATTTTTGTTGTTGTTGCCTGAAGCCTTATACCAAATAGTTATTATATACTAAATTATATAAAAATATGATATTCATAATCCTGAAATTACTTAAATTTTAATAGTAGAAAAACTGGCCCAAGAGATTTTAAGTTGAAGATATTAAAAAAGAAATAAGAAAGGATGAAGTCAAAACTGTATTTGTAAATGACAGGATTCTTTTACATAAAAGACCTCTTTAAGTATACTAGAAAACTCAACCTATTAAACACAGTAAAGTTACACAATATAAAATCAATATTTAAAAAGAAATCCTTCATATATATCAACAGTGTACTCTCAGAGAAAGAAATTAGGATAAATACCCCATTCAAATAACTCAAAAAAATTTTAAGAAAATATGCAGCCAAAGAGAAAGAGCTCTACAAGGAAAACTTAAAGACACTGAAGGGAAATCACAGAAGATTCTAAGTGATGGGAAGAATTTATATGTTCCTGGATGGACAAAATTAATATTTTGAAAATAGTCATGAAACCAAAATTAATTTGCAAATTTAATGAAATACCCATCAAAGTTCCAGTGTCATATTTCATGGGTTTAGAAATACAAACATTTATGTGAACCCACAAAAGGCCGCATGCCAACCTCAAATTATACTGTAGAGCTATAGTAATAAAAAACAGTCTGGCACTGGCATAAAAAACAGACAGATATATCAATGAAATAGAATAAAAGACCCAGAAATAAATCAAGAAAGCTATGCCTGTTTAATTTTTGACAATGGCAAAAACATTCATTTGATAAAAGATAGTCTGTTTAACAAGTATTGCTGGCAGAACATGCAGAATTAATTTGGAACCTTTCACCTTATACAAAAATAAATTCAAAGTGAACCACCAAACACCACTGGAACTTCTAGAAGAAAGCATAAAAACATAGGGAGTGCCCTTCAAAACAGTGAGGTAGACAAGAGTAGAACAAAACACTCAAGTCTCAACATGTGGGGCCAACATGAAAATAAAAGTTTCTGCACAGCAAAAAGGAACTATTAGCAGAGCAAACAGCCTGTAAAATGGGAAGGAAATCTTTAACTAGCTACAGTTCAGACAAGAATTTACAATCAGTTGCAGAAATTAATACCAAGAAAATAAAAAAACTAATCAACAAGTGAGCAACTATGTGGGATAGTGTTAATAAAACCACACAGATAGCCAATAATTATTTTAAAAAATGTTCAGTACTTTGAATACTACCTCACCCCAGTCACAGTGGCCTTCATCAACAAATTTGACAAAATATTAGAGAGCAATTCATATTTACCACTGGTGGGAGTGCAAATTAATATATCCATTATGAAAATGAATTTGGATATTTTTCAGAAAATTAAAAATAATACTCCTGTATGACCCAACTGTTTTACTGTAGGGCATATACCGAGAGAACTCCAAGACCTACCATAACCATAATCACACCTCATGTTTATTGTTGCTCTATTCACTATAGTAAAGAGTTGGAATCAACCTACTTTCCATCAACAGATGAATGGACAATGAATACTTGGTGCATATATAAATGGAATACTATTCAGCTCTAAAGAAAAAAATCACAAAATTTGAAAGAAAATTAACAGAATGATAGATTATAAATTAATTCAGTAATTGGGTTTATGATAAGGCTTTCTCAAAAAAATGAGAAAGTTTAATGCTTAAAGAAAAATATAACTTATAGCTTCTTTATAGCAATGTCTAATCATTTAATTCATTGTCTTTCAGATGCGGTGGTGCTAGGATTTGTTATATTTTCCATGAAACTTTTGGGCGAACCTTAGAATCTGTTGACCCGCTAGGTGGCCTTAACACTATTGACATTTTGACTGCCATTAGAAATGCTACTGTGAGTATACTTAGCAAAAAAGAAAGGGGGGAAGCTTTATTTGAATGTATATTTTATGTTAATGCACAGCTTGTTAATGCTTTCATACTTGGAACATTTTTCAGAAAAAAAAAAAACAAAACAAAACAAAAAATGAGCTTCCTTTTTTAATCCTTTGGAAGACCTGAAATTATGTATAGCTATAAGAGAGCTAAGTTTTGTCTTTTCAGGGTCCCCGCCCCGCTTTATTTGTGCCTGAGGTTTCATTTGAGTTATTGGTCAAACGGCAAATCAAGCGTCTAGAAGAGCCCAGTCTCCGGTGTGTGGAACTGGTCCATGAAGAAATGCAGAGGATCATTCAGCATTGTAGTAATTACAGTACACAGGTACCTGTGAGATGGAGCAGGGCCCATCATATCCATCCTGAGTTCAGAGTAAGAGAAAATGCGCGAAGATTAACTCAGTAGTTCCCTTACCTAACAGTAATTTGAAATGATATTCTTAAATGTAACTTCCAAGTCTAATTTAGTACTTCAGTAATTTTTAAATTTTTAGTTAAACTGACTAACATCTTTATTTCTCTGTTACATATAGGAATTGTTACGGTTCCCTAAACTTCATGACGCCATAGTTGAAGTGGTGACGTGTCTTCTTCGTAAAAGGCTGCCTGTTACAAATGAAATGGTGAGCTACTGTCTTCTTTGAGTCACCATCAACAAAATTTAATTTGGTTGTTTTTTTTTTTTCCAATATGACATGATTGCATCAGGTTTGTTTCCCAGAGTATTGTGTAAATCATAAGAATTTAAATCTTATTTCCAAAGGATGTTATTAGTAATTCTAGTACACAGCGTTTTTTGATATTTTAATCATTACAAGTCTGAAATTACAAGTTTCATGAGGACAGAATATCTTTGAAGGTCTTGAGTAGCTGCTTCTAAGTGCTGTGCTGCCATTGACTGCATTGACTATTGTGGTAAATTAGTTCTGTTTCTGGACTCAGTAAGCCAGACCTTTACAGCAAGCTCACTTATTCTGAAGCACAACATTGTGCTTGTTCTGTGAGCTGATGGTAGGAGTTAGTTATTACGATAGTGAGATGGACCTATCCACCCATTCCCATAAAAATGCTAAAATTGACAGAAATGTGAGCTTAAGCATTTGAATTTACTCTTATGCTTCTAATTGTCTAGTGGTTTTCTGTTTTCCTTCTTAGTCTTGGTTCAGATTACTGAGCCTCACTTGAAGTTTATCAGTGGAATCCTTGAACTCTTGGGTGATGTCTGCTTAATGATCACTTCCTCAGCAGGGATTTCTGTGAGTCAGATACCTAAGCCTGATTTCACCCTCTGCCCCCCCAGCGTCATAGATCTACAGGACTTTCCCATCACCAGCTCTGCACCATTGAGTTTGAATAACAAAATTGTTCTGAAACTTGAGACAGTACATACCTCTCAGCATATTTTTGTCTGTATCTTATGAATTAAAAAGAAACACTATAGCCTTGGCCAGCAGACAACTAGTAGTTAACAAGGAACTCAAACCTTGTGGGATAGTTCATTTGGTACTTGATAAGTAGTGTTTTAATAATCTTTTGTTCCAAATTGGCAGTGGGGGAGTCAGTTTTGAAGAAAAGCTGTGACCAGAAACCTTTAAAGACTAGAAGATAAAAAGAGTTTATAAAGGTGGCCATGGCCCTGTAAACAATCCCTTATCCTCACCAATCTTTCTGTAAGCAGCCCTGCTGAAACTCAGTGGGTCATTAAAGACAAATGAAAGAACAGGGAGAAAAAAGGGGATAAGCAGGAGGGGGAAAGGACAAAGAGAATAATGTTAACTTTGATTCAAGTACATTATAAACATGCATGAAAGTAAAAACAGTTATGGATAACTAATACATGTTAAGTTTTTAAAGATTAAAAAAAAGGTATAAGGGGAAAATGAAAACATTAATTTTTATTTTTCCTTTTGATTTTAAGTTTGTGTTTCATGGTTCAGGCTGTTATTACTAACTACCTTGGGCTTAAATCTATTCATTATCAGAATAAAATTAGCATCTTGAACTTATCCTAATTATGAACTGCTTCTTGTTAAAATTAAGCATAAGCTTTCATACTATAATTCATGATCTGAAGTTTGAATTTAAAAATTTGTTTATATAAAACTTGGAACTTAAAATTGCATCAGGTAAAAAAACTTTTCCCAGTAATAGGAAATTACTTTTAATCTCTCATTTTTTTCTTATTAGCAGTACAATTTTAAATCTGAAGGTAAATAATTTAGAGCTAAGTATCATTGGGCAGAAAGTGTTATTTGAAGTATAGTCATCAAGTGTTTAAAAATGTTTCTTATACTTTTTCAATATTGTTTGTATAAGTTTTTTTTTAATTTATTTAAACGTCTCAAAGTTGGGTTAAACTGGTGTATTTTTGTTTTTTGTAGGTACATAACTTAGTGGCAATTGAGCTAGCTTATATCAACACAAAACATCCCGACTTTGCTGATGCCTGTGGGCTAATGAACAATAATATAGAGGTGAGTATAATGATCATTCTTTAGAGGTTGGCAGTCAACTACAAGTCGTTTCATACAAAAGATGTGGTATATTATTGTTGGTTGTGTGCCCAGGAAATATGCTAAAGTCCTTACATTTTGTTTTCTTAATTTTAGTTCTCAAAATCAGCTGGGACAGTTATTTTTGCTTTCCACTTAGGAAACAAAAAGGATTTATTGATCAGTGTTAATGGATGGTCTTGTTCCTTTTCATTAACTATTACAGTTTTATAGTTTTTTTGGGGGGGGGGTTGGGTTGTTGTGGGATTTTTTTTGTTTTTTGTTTGTTTGTTTGTTTTTGTTTTTTGGTTTTTTTTTATTTTGAAGTGTATAAAACCAAGTGAATGTTTATATCTGAGGTTTTTTTCGGCTCTGCAAACTATGAAGGAAGTATTCTAAGTATTAACTAACTTCATATTATGGAAAAGTAGTAGATTCTTCACAGTAAAGCCCCCCCCCCTTTTTTTTTAACACCCAGAAAGTGAATTAGTTAAGTTAGGATAAATGTAGGCACATATGGGCTGCACTAGTGAGATGGCTCAGTGGTTGACAACATTAGCTGTTCTTCCAGAGGACCCGAGTTCAATTCTCAGCATTCAAATGTCAGCTCACAATCATCTGTAACTCCAGATCTAGGGATCTGGTGCTCTCTTCTAGCCTCCACAGGCACCAGCATGCTTGTAGTACACAGATATACATACAAGGCAAATACCCATACACATAAAATAAAAGTGACTATTTTCAAAAGTGGGCACACTGTAGAACTTATAGAATGGCTACACACACTATATGAAATATATAAATTGGATTTATTAGAATATTTACAAGCTGTGGTCCAGCTAATCCAACAATGGCTGCCTATGAGCACAAAGTCCAAGAATCTAGTAGATGTTCAGTCCACAAGTTTGGATGTCTCAACTGGTCTTCAGCATATGCTGGAATCACAAAGAAGTAGGCTCTCGTGCCAGTGAAGGAATGGACCTGGTAGTGAGGTGAGAACAAGCAGACAAAGACAAAGGTTCATTTTTCCATGTCCTTATATAGGCTTCCAGCAGAAGGTGTGATGCCCCTGCCCTTGGGATCAGTCAATGGGGACCCTGAAGCAGGAAGGGAAAATGAGGGGACAAGAGATGGAGACAAGACAGTATTCTGATTAAGTCTCATTTAATGAATATAACCACAGGGTTTAAGTAGTGAAGAAATGAGGGCATGGGCCAGAGGGAGGCAGGATGCAGGTGTTCTGCTATAAGATAAGTTGCTATACTATAAACCTGCAGATGGGACTTTTTCAGGGTCAGGCTGTGTCATATTCTTAACCGGAGAACAATCATAGGGGAATGGAAAATTGCCAGTGTATTAGTACCTAAGAGAGTAGTAGGAAAGATGCTAACTTTGCTCTGGGGTTCCCTACAGTGTGCATCTTCTCACCTCAAAAGACCTGAATTAAAAGTGTGGTTTCCTACCTCATAGATCAGGTTAAAAGTGGGTAGACCCACTTGAAATTAAGCAGAAATCCCTGACAGGTGGGCCCCCCTCCATTTGGTGGGTTTTAGTTCATTCTAGATATAGTCAAGTTGATAACCACCATTTAACAGGGTTTCAGATCAACACTGGAAATATAAATCTCCTCTTATGATTGTGCCAAAGAATTTTGTGCATGTTACCATTTAATCTTTAACCCTCTGAAATCAGATAATGTTGACAGAAGAAATGGTGATTTAGGAAGATTTAGGAAGCTACATCTGCTGGAATCTAGCTGGTGGTTGGCATGGTAGCATTATAATTGTCATTCTTCAGATTGTTCAGCATCACTCACTTTTTTTTAGTGTGCTTTTTCTTCTAGAGATTATTAAAATCCATATAGTTCTATAATTTTATCACTTGATACAAAGTCTTATACCTAAGAAATTCTTTTGAAGTTTTGTGAAATGTTTTCATTTAAGGGGCAGTTTTGACCTGATTGTATGTAACATAACAATTTTCCAAATGCCTGTAAGAGACTTCTTATCCTCCTCTATATCTATCTATATTATTTGTCTTGGTGCTTGAATATTGCAGGTGCTCAGTACATAACTTGAGTCTAACATTGTGTATATAGTTTTAACAGGTGGCAAACAGTCTGTCAGTTATCAGTACTATTTCCAGGAGTCAGTATTTTCTTAAAGGATAACCCATTCTTTAAAACAGACTTTTAAGTTATGGGGTTTTTATTTTGTTTTTCATAATCTGAATGACTTTTAAGATTTTACATTTTCTACAAATTCTTCTACCCTTCATTTGGGAGTCCCTGGTAAAGGGAGCTGCTGTTGCTGGTGCTGTATTGTATCCCGGAGCAATTGTGTTTAGGCAGAAAACAAACAAGCATAGGGAAGCAATAGAATTTGTGATTTGTTTTTAATATAATCAATTATGACATAAGTTCCCAGGAGTAATACGATAAATCTGTTACGTTACTACATGCTTTTCAACGAAGATGAACATGTTTTGGTAGGCCTGTATCTCAATATTCTGATAATCACAAAAACTTGGTTACATTTTATAGGAACAAAGAAGAAACAGGCTAGCAAGAGAACTACCTTCAGCTGTATCACGAGACAAGGTAAATAAATAAAAAAATTTTTATGGTATACTCCCCACACCTAGAGCTCAGCCTCAGCCAAATATATATTTCTCTGTGAAAATGTGTTTTTCTTCCTGTCTGTAATAGTTTAAGGGTGTTAGTGCATAAAGTTTTTTAAAGATTTAAATAATTTAAAAAGAAAGGTGGCTTTTAAGCATTAAGGATTCTTTATAAGATTCAAATTTGTTCAAGAATGATTTTATCGTAAGGGCTTTGGGAGAAGGACGACAATTGTGTTTGTAGTAGGTGTTAATTTTTGGCAGTAACTTTCAGCAGTTGTACCTCTTATCCTGGGATCCTTGTCAGAAAAGCTCTCATTAAGTGCTCAACACACCACCCACCACCACCACCACCCCCAAAGAGCAGCAGCTTTAGATTCAGGTTTTCTTAAGTAAGTTTTCATCTGCAGAAAAGCTTAACGTGGGACAGTGCTGTAGGAAATAAAGCAGAATATAGACTTATATCTCCATGGGTACTTTTGTTTTTGTATTACCTTACTATTTTGTTTATAGAGGGAAATTTTTGTCTATAAAATATTTCCAAATGCATTTGGCATCCTTGATTTTTTTTTCCCCCCTCCTGCATTTTTGCCTTTAGTCTTCTAAAGTTCCAAGTGCTTTGGCACCTGCCTCCCAGGAGCCCTCCCCTGCTGCTTCTGCTGAGGCCGATGGCAAGGTCTGTTCTCATTCCTAATCTAAGCCTGCATGCCAAGTTTGGAGACAGTATACTGAATAAAACAATATTAATATGGGGCATTGTGTTAGACTATTTTAGCCTGTCCAGATTTTTAAAAATTGTATATCAAAGTATATATCCGAGTATTGTTGACATGCTGTCCTTTGCTTGCTATGTAGAAGATATACATAGAAGAAATGATCTCCTACTTTTAAACTTTCAAGCTCTTGCTATTTAAATCTTGCTTGTTAAATCGCATGTTTTAACATATCTTTTAACAGTTAATTCAGGACAGCAGAAGAGAAACTAAAAATGTGAGTCTCTTGCTTTAGAATGAAAATGTTGGTGCCTTTGGTTCTCACTATAACACTCTTCACATTCATCAAAAAACCTGTTCGTGCAATGACCTCCATTTTTTGTCTGTGTTATGGTCTCACTGTTCTTTTTATCTAACCCATGTAAGGTGGCATTAGTCTGGCTTTAACACTGTTTTAACTGTTATTAACAATAGCCTTTCCAACCTCTGTTACCCTCAATATTTGCTTCCAGTGTCTTCTTTTGGTAGAGATGACGATTTCATAGCTGGAAGTGGTCCTCTGGGACCTTCCTCGTTAAAGGTCTGAGCTCTGGCATCTTCACTGCTTTCCTGTGTTTCCCATCAGTGTCTCTATTAATTCTAAATGTAGAATTTCACGTGTGCTTTCAGAGCTTAAGCAAATTCAGAACATATGGAAACTGTGAGAGATTAAAGCTTGTTGATTCTTGATAATCTTTTTCACAAAAGATCATGGGTAGAATACTCAGGCCTATTCCTTTTTCTACTCTTTCTCCCACTGCTTAGTCTCTAAGTGTAAGTTTTTCATCCTCTGAGCCTTAAAAAGCTCTCTCTATCTCTCTCTCTCTCTCTCTCTCTCAGCTATAGTCTTCAGGGAACCATGCAAATCACTGCACAAGTTTTTATTTCATTTTCCTTATGATTCCATTTCATTTATAATTGATGTCTGTTTAAGAAACACTAAAAATGTAATTACCCAATAACACCTACATATAGAAGTACCATAAGTCTTCCACTGCATTCATATGACCCAATTCTTCTACATTTGGAAGATCCTAAAGATCTAAAAACTCTCTTAAACATTGATGTATTTTGTTTTTCCCACTGTAGCAAACAATCATTGCTTCTTTTAGAAGAGTCAGAACCCAGAAAATTAAGTTGCAGAAGCAACTGTGGTGAAGGGAGCAATGGATTCTCACAGGACCCTTTCTCGGAGTGGAGGGATGAGGGAGCATGTGTTGTGCTCACTTACATTTCACATTTTAGGTAGCTTCTTGATGTGATAGTTGGGTCTGAGGATGTAGTCTACTTATTAAAGAGGTTTACTTTTGACTATCAGAGATATAAACTAGTTTTAGAAGTATGTAGAGGCATGAACTCACAGTTCTGTAAGCTCACGTTCAGGGTTAGTGTTGAAGATTACTTTGATGACATGAGCAGCACTTCTGTTTCCTGTGTGTGCTTTTATTGTAGTGTGTGAGGGGTACAGAAAGATGCAACATTTTGAAAAGTCAGTAAATGATAAATAAAAAGTAATTAAATGGGTCCTGAATTAGCTATTGGCTTGCAGACAACTTCAAAGAGAACCTCTCGGGTTTCTAGTGACAAATGCCACCATCATCTCTGACTTCCTTGTCTATTTGAATAAATTCCGGATAGGTACTACCTGTATGTTCTTGATTACCATCCAAGAAAATGAATTTCATTTATTGTCAAATATACAGAGTATAGGTTTGGAACATGTGTTTTCAGGTTGTATCTGCAGGTGGTGGGATTGGAGATGGTAGTCAGGAACCAGCAACAGGCAACTGGAGAGGAATGCTGAAAACTTCAAAAGCTGAAGAATTACTTGCTGAAGAGAAATCAAAGCCAATCCCAATTATGCCAGCAAGTCCACAAAAAGGCCATGCTGTCAATTTGCTGGATGTGGTAAGCCATAACAATTTGATTTAAATCTACAGATGAACCAAGTTAATAGCAGAAGAAATAAAAGCCTCAAAATTTTTTAACTTTTAATTAAATGTTGTCATTTCAAAATGGCACAGAGGTAATATTTTCCCCTTATCCTTTTAGCCAGTTCCAGTTGCACGAAAACTGTCTGCTCGTGAACAGCGAGATTGTGAGGTTATTGAAAGACTCATCAAATCCTATTTTCTAATTGTCAGAAAGAATATTCAAGACAGGTCAGTATTACTTAATATATAAATACTGCTGGATGAGTTCATGTTCTGTTTTAATAAATTGTACATGAAACATTTTAGATTAGCTTTTATTCTAAATCTTGTGGTAACAAGACTTAATAGTCTGTTAACATGGAATGATTTAGGGTATTATGTATCAGCTGGAAAAAAAATTAAAAAGTAAAAGAATCAAAGAATAATAATGTGTGTTTACAGTTATAGAAAGATTCATCCTCAAGGAATGTTCACAAATATAAGGCCAGCCTGAGATGCCCCCTACCCCAGTCTCCAAACAAAATAATTAGAAAATGGTATCAGTGTGGTTCTCTGCTATTGTATAGAATTAGTTAAGTATAGTATTCATGAGGCATTGGATTCAGTTCCCCACAGTGCTCTGAAAAAAATATAGTAGATACGGTTACATGGTTATATTTTATTGGTTAATGAATAAAACACTGTTGGCCAATAGTAATGCAAGATAGGAGGGACTAGGAGACAAGGAGGATTCTGGGAGACGTAGAGGAGATTCAAGATGTAGAGACTTGAGAAAGAAGAGGTCCAGAACCTCTCTCCGGTTAAGATAAGAACACATGGAAATACTTAGATTAATAGATTTAGGTTAATATTTAAGACAGCTAGCCAATTAGAAACATTACTAACTAGCCAACAGCTTTGTATCTAATACAGAGTCTCTGTGTGGTATTTGGGGCTGATACGGCACTGGGACCAGGCTGGCAGGAAAAAAGTACTTGTAACATTATTCAAAATAAAGCACACCTATCTGCCACACTTCTAATATGCCATATTTATGAATTAGCCTACTAAACATTTCATGTTAGTGGAGACACAATAATATGTGGCCTTTTTTCTGGTTTCCTTCTCTTGTGAGTGGCCCTCCCTTTTTTAAAAAAATATTTAAGAATTCCTTGTCTTTTGATAATTTACACACTCTTCCCCAACTCTTTTCAAATCCATCCCCTTTTGCCCTTTCTCACCCAAATATTTTGGTTTTCCCATCCTCAGTCAAGGCCAGTTTGTGCTGCCTAATGTTCTTGGATTTATAGCCTTCTACTGGAGTTTGCTTGACTTAACAGGAGTTATACTCTAACCTTCTCCCAGCAGCTGAAGATTGCCAATAGCTCCTCTGCTGGAGATGGACCTTTGTACCTCATACCCTAATCATCATGAATTTTGGTCTATTTTAGCCTTGTACAACTGCCAAGTTCATATTTGCAACTGCCCTGCTGTGTCCAGAAAAGTTTCCTTGGCGTCTACCACCACTTCCGCAATGATTCTCAATCCTTGGGAGGAGATATAGGTTCTCCATTTAGGGCTGAACATCATGCAATGTCTTATTCTTTGCATCTTGACCACTGTGGGTCTCTATGTTAACCATTATCTACAACAAACACGTTTTCTCTGATGAGAGATGTCTTACTCTATGGGTATAATGATAGGTCATTGTGAACTGGTTTAATACTATATCCACTTAATATTATAATGGTAGGTTCTCTTCTAAGATCTTGCCTGGGTAATGGTGCTGGATACAGAATTTGTTTAGTTGTCAGTGTGTTCTAAAGCTTGTTCATATGATGGTATGGTTCAGCACTTCCTTTTTTCAGTTGACTATAATACTGGATTATATGTTATACCATACTTTGTATATCTACTCATCACATTACGAATATTTGATTTTCAGTTTTGGCTGTTAAGAATTATGGTCACTGTTGTCTTTATAGAATAATGATAATGACAAGGATTGTGGCTTTGCTTAATATTATTTGAAGGGCATTTCCTACTAAGTATATTAAATATTCAATGTTCTTACTACGACGCCATACTCTTTAAAGTCTAAAGCAGTGGTTGTCAACCGTCCTAACGCTGTGACCCGTTAATACACTTCCTCATGTTGTGGTGACCCCTACTATAAAATTATCTTTGTTGCTAATTTGTAACTGTAATTTTGTTACTGTTATGAATCCGAATGTAAATATCTGATATAGGACCCTGTGAAAGGGTCATTTGACATCCCCCCCAAGGGGCTATGGCCAACATGTTGAGAACCACTGGTCTAAATTTTTGAAAATATTCTTATTGCCAAGACTTAATGATTTTACTTTGCTTTGCAGCGTCCCAAAGGCAGTAATGCATTTTTTGGTTAATCATGTGAAAGATACTCTTCAGAGTGAATTAGTAGGACAGCTGTATAAGTCTTCCTTACTAGATGACCTCCTCACTGAATCTGAGGACATGGCACAGCGCAGAAAAGAAGCAGCTGACATGCTAAAGGTAACTATTATGTTGTTTTCCATTTTCCTCCCTGGAATACACATGTGCCACATTCTAAAACTGCATTCTGATCTTGCTCCCCACTCTGTATTCAAATTTTAAGGAGATATTGCCTCTATTTAAGCATTGAAAATGGAGAAATTTCTTTACAACATTCAGATTATTGTTGTAACTGGAGTGTTTATATCTTTTAATGCAGGCATTACAAGGAGCCAGTCAAATTATTGCTGAAATCCGAGAGACTCATCTGTGGTGAACAGAACTGTTGAACACCCAGGCTTTTGACTTGAACCTGTAGTACTGCCTACCTGAGTAGATGTTTATTTATGAACTCCTGTGTATTGCAGTGTATGAATTTGCTCATGTGAAGACTGGCTATAAGCTGAAAAGTATACTCTGCATTACAAATCACACACAATTCACATTTTTAAAGTTTCCCATGATATATGTATATCAAGTCTATCTGTTTCAGTCAAGAACAATTGATGTTCTAGTTGTACAAAGCAGTTTCTGTGTGGATATGATGACCTGTGTGACTTTTTGTAGTCTTAAAGCTGCAGCCATAGTCCTCAGAAAGGAAGCTCCAGGACATTTCATGACTGCATGCACTATTTTATATAGACTCATCTGGCTGTAAAAGATGGAGCTTGGTAAGCTCATAATCAATGTATCCATCTATCCTTCATTTTTTATAGTCTTAAAAAAGAAAACTCTGTAATCTTTGCTGTTTTAAGAAATGTGTAAGATCTGAAAGACTATCATAAAGGTGTAGGAACAGACTGTGTAGTTAATGTTTTATTCACTTCTGAGTCTACACTGCCCTAGTGTTAAAACTTAAAATATACTTTGATTCATAATTAAGCCTGAAGACATGAATTGACTCCCTGAATTAAAAACTATTGAGAATTAACTTGGTAACAATGACCAGTCCTATTAATTTCTGAAAGATCCAATGATGACCTAAATTTCTTAGTTTACAAATAGAGTAACAGCAATTCAAATATACCCTTAAAGTGAGCAATTGCATTGGGCTCTAAGACTCACACTGAGGTGGGACCTACAATTCCACTCTCTGTACACATTGGAAATAGCCAATTTAGTTCCATACAAAGACATACATTATAATAATGGTATGAAAACACTGGTGGAACTTTGTTAAAGAAACTACTTGGACATACACATACACCTAAAGGTTTATAGACTATTAAACTGTACACCTAAAGGTTTATAGACTATTAAACTGTATTTGGAGATGGAGGATTGTGTTTACAACCTATTATGTGAACATTGCCTGGGCAATTCATGATGTAAACTAAGCATTAAAAAATTTTCAGACGTAAGTAAAAGTCTTTGGTGGATCTAGTTCTGTCTCTAACCAAATAATATATTAGTATTACAAATACTAAAGTTTCATTTCAGGTTATGGCCAGGCATTTTCTGAAATATTATTAGCAAGGAAAACAAGAACATGTTATTTTTAGTTTATGATACCCACTTAGTAATCTCAAACACTAAAGGGTCCACTTCAATGTGATGACACAATACATTGACAGTGAGTGCACACTGCCCAAATACGCACTTAAAAAAGTACAGTGGCCAGACTACCACTGTAGCCTTCTGAATTTGGAAGGGGGAAAAATGAACCTCTGTCCAACATTTCAAATAGGTTTTAAATGGAAGATGTTTGCTTTAAAAACATGCTACGGTAGTGTTCTTATTAGCACTACACACTTTGTACAAAGAAAATAAAAGCTTCCTTTGTGTGTTTTTACACCAAGTTGTGTTCTGAAACAGGAGATAATTTCCGGCATATTTATAAGACTAATGTATGTTCTTTCTGTGTAAATAAAGCTGCTGGTATGAAATGACATTAAAGTTTGCCAGTAAATGAATTTTTCTAGACTTGCCTCAGAAAGTTTTAAATAGCTGCATCTTTTAAACATCTGAAACTACCTAACAGTTCAACTTGTATTACACCAAGTTTTATGATGTATTTTCCTATTAACATTGTATCTACAGACTGAAGATAGAAACTTGTTTCAAGTAACCTAGGGGTGAATGCTCAGAGGGAACACTATACTTTGCTGCAAGACTTCCAGAAGCTGCTCAACACTTCATGCTTCCCTTGCCCCTATCCACTATCTTGATTGTTACAGAAACAGTTTGGAGAATCAACTTGCCTAGCATATACAAACCTCAACTAGTTTGACCTCAAGACTTCCTATATCTTTGTTCTCATGACTGCATACTTGGTATGATACTTTCATTCTTTGGTTCCTTGGGTCTGCCTTGAGTACCCACTAACAAAAATAGGCAATTATGAGTAAATAGGCTGATTGAAACACAGGCAAGGATATGGAAAACTGAACTATAGATGAAATCTGACACTGATTTGTGTTTTGTTTGAGAAGAAACTATTTCTTCTTACTGTTTCTATTAAGAACCATTGCCACACCTAACTTCTAAGAATTGTTTACTTCTTAGCATCAGCCAGCCAAAAATTTACATTTCCAACAGATTTCTCATTTGTAAACAAATGAGAATGCAAAGTGCAGTGCGGAAATGGGCAAAATATGAGAAGCAGTGAGTGCCTTCTCAGGTCCGCTGTGGCAGCAAAGGAGATGTAAGGAAGAGGCAAATGTCCCAAAGGTGTGGTGAGTCCACCTGGTTAGGCAAGGGACCCTGCCCATTGGGGAAGGTAGGGGAGGGGAGTGGCGTCTGCTGCCTGGGTGAAACCCAGGTCCCGTAAAATCCTAATCCCTGACACCAGATATCGCGGTTAAATAAGGATCAGGATAAACAAATAGACCAAATAGATGTTTATTCAGGGATTAAATAACTTACAACCTAGACAGATGAACACCAGGAAATTCCACCGGGTGCTCCTCCTCAGACCTCTTTCCACAGGTCGCATCCGCCCATGGCTCCACCCCCCAATGGGCGTGGTCAGTGCCACAGAATGACTATCTTACTACATTTCGTAGCTTGGCTAGTGTATGGAGCTGTGTAACACTACTGAAATGGCAAGTGCTCTTCACTTTATGTAGTGTATAATTCCATACTTCATTTTCATTGTACTTCATCAGTCCAAGAAGCAAGACAGTCAGACCTCTCATAAGAATAAACCATAGTTAAATAACTTTATTTAAAAATACAGAAAAGTATTTACATTGTAAGGCCTTATGTATATTCCACTCTTGGTTTTTGAAGACTCTCCATGTTTTGAAAATGGACAAGATCTTTCACAACTGCAGCCATTTTATAATGTAGAAATTCCTTTTTCCTATTTTAAGTAAGGAGAGTCCATTCTTGAGAATATGTTGTCCAATTACTAAAACACTCTCGGGATTTGTTACCTGTCTGTGATTTATACTAACTCCACCTTCTGTTATCATCCGATACCTGAAAATAGAAAGGTTTATCAATAACTAGAGGTAACCATCATCTGACGTGACCTGACCTGCACTTTTTGAGGAAAGATGTGAGTACGTCGCCCGGTTGACCTGAACTCACACTGCAGCTCAGGTGGATCTTAAACCTGTGATTGATTGTCCTGCCTCAACCTCCCAAGCATCTGAGCTTATAAGCCTACACCACAGGCTAAGGTAGCCCTGCTTTTTGACACATTCACTTCATAATGGTTTTTAATGAAGATTCAATTTCAGAATTTCTCTATTTTTGTATAGGGAAAAAAAACTGCCAGACAAGAAACTCCTGAAAACAAAAAACAATTTTGCTTTTATAGTGTGCTACCCATTAAGATACAGGTAACAAATACCCCTACTTGAATCTTTAAGAAAGTTGATAGGAAACTAGAACATATTAAGACTGAATAATACTGTTTAAAATAAAAAACTAAATACTGTCTTAATCAGCTGACTGCATAAATGGAGAAATCAATAGCTGGCTTAAATAAGTGTATTATAGCAGAGGTAAGTTTTACTCAATGTCACATCTAATTCATTCAATAAAGTACTTTGTGTAAACATAAGTAGCATTAAAGAGATAGAGGCAACACTAACACCAATGTCTAGCAATATTGTGCTATGAGGGATCAGGCATTTCTCTGGGGGCACACTGACTGTATAGATGATGATGGGAGATGCCATTATGTATATATGTTTCTCATACTAGTTAATGAATAAAGCACTGTTGGCCAATAGGAAAGCAAGAGAGGCGGGACTAGGAGAGAAGGAGGAAAGAGGAAGTAGTAAGAAGGAGAGCCAAGCAGTATGCCGGCCAGCTCCCAGTAAGAGAAATACATAGATCAGCAGAAATGGGTTAATACTTAAGACAGAGCTAGCCAATAAGAAACAAGTAACCAGGCCAACAGCATTGTATCAAATACAGAGTCTCTGTGCGTTATTTGGGGCTGGCACAGCGGCGGGACAAGACCAGGCGGCGGGTGGAAAAACTACTCGTTACAAGATGAGGGCTGGGAACTTTTTTGACAGATAGGATTATTAAGACACTGGATGATAAGTTAAGTAACTTGAACACAGCTTTATAAAATCAAGCCAACAACAAATATGTTTTTGTGTAGAGATGAATTATTTTCTTCTAGGACTGCTGACATGCTGAATGTGCAGGCCAACCCTACTTACTGTATGAAAAACGGAGAACCACTGCTGACTGGCCGGCCAAGCAGCAAACACACCAGAGCCAAGGTCACAAGAAAATGCTTGAACCCAGACATGCTATAGGGGAGAACTGGACTCCAGACTTAAGTTTAGTCCACTTTAAGTAAAATATATTAGGGAATAAACAAATAAGGTAGAGAGACATGGTACTTAGTCAGCACCTGGAAATTTAGAGCTCACTGGACAGGCGGACATTCCAAAATAACTAAAAGAAAGCAACTAACCACAGGCAAATGACAGGGACTTATGTGCAAAATCCCATAGACAAAGCACCAAGAGTTCCTGATTATTGCTTTTCCTTGTACATGTTGCTGTTCAGTTATAAATGGACATTCCACATGCAAAATCGCTTTTTGTAGAGCAAAAGTATTATTCCCTAATACTATGATAGAGCTGAGGAATTGCAATATGCAGGAAAATGTAATTCCCAAGGAGAATATTCTACAGTTTATAAGCTTTATGAAGTTGTTTTTATGCCACCAATGCCCAGTTGTATTTTCAATCTTACACATATAGTGTCTGTAATATTCAGTAATCAAAGTTTAAAAGATCCTATCCTCAAGTGAGACTGAGTAAGTGGGAGAACCTCTGTGACCAATCCCTGAGCTGACTGATCCCAGTGAAATAATGAAGGAGCACTGTTCTCTACAGAGATGTTAAGGCGTTTTCAACTGTATGAACCTAAATTCTG